TGGTGCAGTGTAGGTCAGGCACTTCGACATTTCTACCAAATTTCATGTTGATCGGTGCAGCCGTTTCCGTAARACATTAACTTAAAATCTATAATCAAATTGGGGCTTGAGTGAATAGTCACGTCCCTAAATATCCAAACGRGACATTGGAACCACAAAATAGAGGAATTACTCAGATCAGGATCAGGTTTAGAAAGAAAACAGTCTTGACRGTTTCTAAAAGAGGATTGTCATTAAAAGGAGGTCTTCTTCATGCTACTGTTGTAAACCTTAAGTGTTACAAAAACAAAGAGGAAAAGAAAACCACTRGTACTTTTGAACAAACGCCATTTGTTCATGAAGCTTCATCAGTGGAAACAGGCTGATTGATTGACAGGACAAATGATCAGAGGAGACGAGTTTTCACATCCATAATTAATACCGGGACTAAAGAACGGGTAGAGTTCTTCATTGAAGCAGCAGCCAGTAAAGGAGTAGATCAGAGCTGCAGAATCAACATCATAAAATGAGACCAGACCCTCCCGATAATCCACAAACACTCCCACCTTCTCGGGACTAGACCGAAGACTGAGACGGATTTCGGGATCAGCAAGAGCTTCAAACTCATTTTTCTTCCTCAACACAACAGTCCAGAAACCCCCCTCAGGACAAAGCGTGATAAGTCCCTTCCTGTTGATGGACTTTCTGYCCACTCCTWAATCCCAATCAGTTTTTCCTTTAACCTGAACCTGAAAGTAAAAACTGCCAGAAGAGAAACTCTGAGTCCCTAAAACACAAACACAGTCAGAAAATCTCTCTGGATTGTCTGGAACCTTCTTCACTACATCACTGTGGTGAACTTGTTTCCCATCATCAGACAAGATGAGTTCAGGATGAGCAGTTTTAGGATCCAGGGTCAGATCCACCTCAAACTGCTGGACCCTCTTGAGTTCAAACTTAGACAGCATCATCATCTTCTCCTCAATGTCCTCCTGTAGCTGAGCCACAGCTCTCACCAGAGTCCCCTCATATGATGGAGGATCAACTCTGACCTGGGTCCAGTTTTTAGTTGGTAAAGAATCTTTCAGGGACCTGAAGCTCTGGAGAAGGTGGAGGTGGTCTTCAGTGTCTGAGAGCTGCTTCACCTCAGAGCTCCTCTTCATCAGGTCAGAGATCTCCTCTTCCAGATCTTTGATGAAGTCTTCAGCCTGTTTCTCTGTAGTTTTCCTTTGGTCTTCAACCTCCCTCATGAAACTCTTCTTGTTCCTCTCAACTGAGTCCATCAGATCAGTGAAGACCTGAAGACCTTCTGCTTTCTGTCTGTCTGCAGCAGCTTTACTGATCTTCAGTGACTCTTTGATTTCCTGGATCTTCAGCCGTCTGTTCTGGATCATCTGRTGAACTTCAGCCTCTGTCTTCCTCAGCTCTYCCTTCTTTCCTTCAAATTCCTCCCTCAGAGGAACAGACTCATGAGTCTTGTGGTCCAAAACAGAGCAGATTGAGCAGACACAGGTCTGGTCGGTCTTACAGAACAGGTCCAGAGGTTTATCGTGCTTTGAACACATCCTGTCCTCCAYGTTCTCCACAGGATCCACTAGCTGATGTCTTTTCAGACGTGAAGCTGTCAGATGAGGCTCCAGGTGAGTCTGACAGTAGGAGAGCAGACARACCAGGCAGGACTTCAGGGCCTTCAGTTTGGTTCCAGTGCAGATGTCACAGGGAACTTCTCCTGGTTCTGCAGCTTGTTGAGCTTCATGTCTGAACTGATCAACCATCTCTTTGATGAAGGTGTTGACTCTGAGCTGAGGCKTGGAGGAGAACTGTTCTTTACACAGAGGACAGTTGTACAGAACATTACTGTCCCAGTGTTGGGTGWTGCAGGTTTTACAGAAGTTGTGTCCACATGGTGTGCTGAGAGGATCAGTGAYCAGGTCCAGACAGATGGAACACAGGAACTGATCATCAGACCTCAGGTTGCTGCCAACAGACATGTCTGAATTCTGAGAATCAAAGAATCAACAACAGGTTCAGAAGTCATTATTTGTTTAATATGTCACTTCAACTAAAATCCTGAAGTTGAATAGTCTAAACACTGTGTCAGACTATAAATACATTCAGATTTTTTTCATTAATTRAAAAACTTTGTTCTCTTTAAATTCTGCTTCAGTAAATTATGGTGACCTGCCCGCGAGTGCCTGACGGTTGAGCTTTGGCAGTTGTGACTCCGTTGGACCAAGCCAAAAACAGAAACAAGAAGCCACTTCATGTGGGCCAACCACCTGTCAGGAGGACTGTCAAAGTTAGATGCCATAAAATCTGGAGAAAGCAAGGGTCAGCTTCGGCTCACATTGATTCCTGGCAGTACAAACCAWCTCTAGAAACATGAAACATCTCCACACTGTCAGGAAAGATTCTGGAGCTTGTCTGTGAGGTTGAATGATACCAACTAGATATAGTTGGGCTCATCTATATGCACAATTTCGGCTTTGAAACTCTACTCTTGGAGAAAGGCTGGACTCTGTCCTACTCTGAAGTTGTTTGGAGGGAGCAGTGTCAGGTGGGTGTGGGGATACTCATAAGCCCCTGGCTGAATGCCTTGTAAGAAGATTTCCTTAATGAACAAGGTTGTTGCCTTTCTGCAGATTCGAGCTGCAGAAAGGAAGGTTCTGACTACTGTTTGTGCTTATGCACCAAACAGCAGTTCAGATTATCCATTCTTCCTAAAGTTTCTAGATGGTGTCCTGGAAAGGTGCTTTCTGTGGATTTCATTGTTCTACTGGGTGACCTCAATGCCCAAGACAGCAATGATGGAGGTAACTGAAAGGGGTAATTAGGAAGAACAACTTCCCTGGTCTGAATCTCAATGGTGTTCTGTTATTTGACTTCTGTGGTAGGTGTGGGCTATCATAATGATCATGTTCAAGCATAGGCTAATCCATTTGTGTATTTGATACCAGGCCACCTTACCAAAGGCCAATCAATTTTGTAATACATTGTCATCCAACCTGCAGCCGTATGTCTTGGACACTCAGGTGAAGAGAGGGGCATAGTTGTCAACTGATCACCAACTGGTGTTGAGTTCGATCTGGTAGCAGTGAGGGCTGCTCAACAGGCCTGGTAAACTCAAACACATGAGGGTATATTAGGAACATGTGGTGAAGCACCCTGTCCATGCAACTTAAACTGGAAACTTTCAAGAGCTGTGTCCTAAAGTCGTGACAGCAATCAAAGGACCCAATGATGGACTTCAGCGACAATGGAAGCTGTCAAACTGAACGAGGTGGTCTTCAGGGATTGACTGTCCTGAAAGACTCCTGAAGTAACTGATAGGTACAGGGTGGCAAGAAAGATTTGGCTTTTTAGCCTGCAATTGCAAATATGAGGGAATGGAAGGAATTTGGGGATTTTCTGGAGGACTTCAGTGACCTTTAGAAGGTTCTGGTGTATTATTTGGCAACTTCGAAAAGTAAAGCAGACCCCATAATTTCCATTTCGGATTAATAAAGTATTTTTTAATTAAACTGAAACCCAGGCTGTGCTTGGTTTGGACTCAGACAGAGGATATTGTTGAGTGGTGGAAGAAGCACTTTAAGGATATCCTTATACTGTTCACCATGTCCTGCTTTGAGGAGGCAGTCTGCCATGGTAATTACCTAATCTTCCCAAGTTCTCAGAGGTCACCAAGGTAGTCAAACATCTCCTCAATGGCAGGACACCAGGGGTGGACAAGCTTCGACACTGGGAGGTTAAAGGCATGAAAGATGTGGTGCTGTCATGGCTGACGTAGACCTRCTTGCATTATTAAAAAGACAAAGACAACACCTGTGGAGTAGAACCAGGATGGTGGTTCCGATTTTTAGAGTAGATTAAATAGTGTGTTCCAACTATCATGAGATCACASTCCTCAGCCTTCATGTAAAAGTTTATTCCAGGGTGTTGGCAAGAAGGTTCTGCCTGATTGATGAACCTCAGATCTAAGAAGAAAGGCCTTCCATCCTGATTGTGTAACAGTGGACCTTTACTGGGTTCATGGCAGTTTGACTCTCCTGTTTACATGTGTTGTGGACCTGGAGAAGGTTTCTGACTGTGTTCATTGCACTACGTCAAGTTTCTTCTCTGTGCTGGTTGGATTCTGTCTGGGCTGTCCCTTAACTCTGATCCTGTTTGTGGTCTTGGAAGGGATTTCAAGGCTCAGTCATGAAAAGGAGGGTGCCTGGTTTGGCAATCTCATGGTCTCCTCCTTGCTTTATGCAGATGATGTGGTTCTGTTGGCATTTTCAAGCCATGACCTTCAGTGTGAACTGGGGTTGGGGTAGGGTGTGTGTGGACAGGTTTTTCCTACAGTGTGGGGACAATTTTCCCAAAAAAGGCAGCCCCGTAGGGACCAAAATGAATCATGGGGACCAATGCCAGGTCCCCACTGGTCCAAATGCAAATTATGGGTATGGGGATAGGTTTAGGACCAAGGTTTAAGTTAGTTTAAGGGTCAGTGAGGTTAATTTTAGGGTAAATGGTCAGGGTTAGGATAAAGTCTAAAAAATATATATAAATGGAAGTCAATGGAAGGTCCCCACGAGGTTCAAGAACAAACGTGTGTGTGTGTGTGTGTGTGTGTGTGTGTGTGCGCTCTCTTAAGTCTAAGGGCAGCATTAAACATTTGGA